TACGCACACACACCATTCACTATGGGATTTAAACCTTTTGGGGCTTATGAATTGACCCAATTAATAAATAGTCAAGTAGCAGTTGATTAATAAAAAAAAAAAATTAAAAAAATTGGAAAAAGGCTGTTCTGGTATTCCTATTGTTGACTGGAATCAACAATAGGAAAATACCAAGGGGCCTTAGGAAAGCTTGCCAAGCATAATTTATAATAAATAAACTATCAGAAGGCTCTTCTGAAATATCATTCTGAAAGGCATGTTCTCTTTTTTTTTTTCCCCAGCATAATATGTGGTGTCAGGATGTTTTAGTAGTCACTTCTTAAAGACTTGTCTTAAAATATCCAAAGTTATTGAGTTATGAGTATTTAAGATTATTATATGCAACCACTCATCTTATGCAGGCTATTTCAGGGTGTTCATAAATCTTATCAAAGTCAAAATTTAAAATTCTTCTTGGTAGGAATTTTCTGTGATCATGGTAAAATAAGAAAATACCTCTGTGCAGGTGAAGTCTGAGCTACAGCAGTCAAATCAGACCTGGATTTGACACACGCAGAAGAACGATGCCACAGGAAACTTGTGCACTTTTCAGTTTTCATCAGTTGTTTTTGTCCATTCGTTATTCAAAGGTGATGTAACCTCTGCAGATCACAATAGCTGGGTCAGCTCTCCCCGCAGCTTTCCCTGTTTGCAAATGTGGAAACCTATTTTTTAGTGAACTAGAATCAAACCTCTTAAAGGTGAGGAGGTGATTGTGGTGTCTGGGGGATTGCTGCCATCGGCAGGATCCTGAGACAAGGGCAGGAGAAAGCCAGGGAAACAGCAGCAGCGAGTGCAACATTGGAGCTTTCCCAGGAAGGGAAAGGGGCAGAATAATTTAATTTGCTGCCCTGATGTGAGACAGCTATTGGTGCTTGATCCTCCTTTTGCTGATGGTGCTTGCTGCTGGCCCCACAGCCTTTCCTAAGCCTTGAGGAGATGTGTAATGCCATTAAGCAAGCAGCAGGAGGGAGCTGGGACAGCAGGTGAGCAAAGGCTGGTGGAGTGGGCCCTGGGGGAAGCACAGCTGGGCTGCTGGCAGGGAGTGTGGGGCTGCACTGGGCCCAGAAATTATCTTTGGAAAAAGAGCTACTCACAAGAATAAATGGGAGTAGGAGAGCTGCCAGTTAATAAAAATGGCTTGTAGCAGGAAATACTGGGGCTGAGCATCAGCAGCCCCACGGAACGAGTGATGGTGCAGTTGTAAGAAGTGTATTGTGTTCCACAGGTGGGGCTTTCGCATTGGCTCAGGTGTGCTCACCTGCCCAGGGCACTGCCAGCTGTGGTTTTTTCATGCACACTTAGCGCTGTGCCCTTACCATTGCCCTGTGGATGGAGGTATGCTGAGATGGGAGCAGATGTTGGGCTGTTCCTGGTGTGTGGGTGCTCTCCTCTCTGCCTTCTCCCTGTGCCAGTGCAACAGTTTGTGTGGGGACGTGGCAGACTGCATCAGGAAGCTGAGCCTGGTTAAACACAAGCACTCGCTCCTCCCCTTCAGCTGGGCTGGCCAGCAGTGGCTGGTAGAGCCAGTGATGGGGCTGAGGATGGTCGTGGTGGCGTGCTTGGTGGTGTGCATCTGCGGGTGCTTGGGGTGCCTGGCTTGCCTGCTCTTGCTCCAGGCTGGTCAAAGCTGAGCTAGCTCTGGTCTGGAAACCTGGATATCATGCTCTCATAGTGCAAACAGCCACAGTTGTCAGGAGTCAGGGGGCATGCCACCTTTGTGCTGGAGAAGAAAACCTGTGAGGACTGGCACTCTGACAACTGCTATCGCACCCATCAGTCATTTATGGGACGGTTCTCTGTGCTAACAGGAAAATCACAGTGTGTACCCTTGTGCACAGGACAGACCATGCCAGGGACAACTCATGGGCACGGTCTGCAGAGTTTCCTGCACATCTTCTCTTTCCGTGAACGTTTTCCCAGCCTCTGTGCTCATCTCAGCTGACATTGCTGACTAACCATTGCCTCACCAAGGCCTCCCCTACTCATAACCCAGCCTGAAGTGTCTCAGAGGCGCTGGCTGGCCTCGTCACTGTGGGGGCTGCACGCTGGTCCCCGGGGATGCTTTGGCAGGAGGGAGGTGCCAAGTTCACCCCAGTCTCTCCATGCCAGGGATGTGATTCATGCTGCCTGTAAAAAGGTGGGAGAGTGTTCCAGGTCCGGGATGGTGGCAGCCCTGTGCTGCTGGTTGGGCTGAACCAGCTTTCCCTATCCTGGCTCACTGGACACTCAGCTTTCGTTTCAAAAGTTCATGGTATTCTGGAGGTGAAGCAAATTTGTAAAGCTTGCTGCTTTCCAGAGTGGTATGGTGTTAAATAACTTCCTAATGACTTACATGTGGGTAATTGCTGCTGCTTTAGCTCAAAGAGCAGTTGGCTTTTAGAAGGTTGTTATTCAGACTCCGGTTGCAAAAGCAAGTGGTGGACAATCCTTACCTGCAATGAGCTGACAAGTCCCTAAATGCCACAGCCAGGGTGAAATAGTGAAGCTCAGAGTTTTCAAGCCAGGGAAGGATATCTGGTCATGACCAGCTGCCCTGTCCCAGCCTTCCCTGCTTTAAACCACTCTGTTGTTGGTTTGATTTTTTTTGTGTTTTTTTTTTTTTTTTCCTCTTGTGGGCAAATCATTTACTGTAATTTAATGATCACAACCACATAAAATTCACTTCCTTGTGGTAAAAAAAAAAAAAAAGAAGGATTAAATGTCTCAGTTTATCTTTTCCATGTAGGTCACATGGCCAGAGCTGGTTGTAAAATGTTGAAAAACGAGTTTGAGGTGTACCCAGTGCCAAGTGCTGTACATTTCCATATTCTCCCTCCCCTGCTATCGCTCACAAAGACGCCACAGAAAGACAAGGAAGTTTGCTTTCTCAGGGAGTGGATTTTTTTTTTTTTAATTTAAAGCAGCATTTATTATTCTTAAATCTAATCCTTTAAGACCTCAGTGCTGTCCTAGACCCAACCCCAAAAGGAACAATAGCCTGAGAAGAACTCATACGAAAGCCAAAATGTGGAGCAGAATCATTTATAACAAAACAATCACAGATTGTCTTAAAAAACCATGCACGCTGCAGGGACAGGTTCCAGGTCTTGGTCACCCCAGTGAAATTAAGAAATGCTAGGTGAGCTCAGAAGGAGACCCTTGTGCAGCACGTAGCACCTTGTGCAAAAAGCAAGGCAGTTGCCTGCAGCTTTGGGGTGTCTCTGCACCCCTTGCAGCCAGTCTTAGGGCTGAAGCAAAGGTGAGGTGGCTGAGCCTGGCAACAAAACTGCCTACCAGGGACAGTGAACAGGTCAGCAGGCTGGGATGGGTGTTTGGGAATTTGTCTCCAGGTTAAGGGGTGATGGACATGAAGGAGTTTGGTATTCTGAGGCAGTACGATGCCAAACAGGACTTGATTTTTCTTCCCAACTATAAATTATAGCAAGTTTATATGATTTCTTTTTCCATGAATGACAGGCTTGCATTGGTTGTGCTCAAAGCAGTTCCTGGGGTTTACACTGCTTTGGAACTCCGGAGCTAACCGTGGCAGCTGGTGAGTCCTTGTCCACTGCTTTTGGGCAGTGGCAAGGCTTGTGAATGCTGAAGGCACGCCGACACCTTGGTCAGCTGCTCTTTGTTACTTCAGCTTAAGCTGAAGCACTTATTTGTCAGTGGAACTCGACCTCTTTGTAGGATCCCACCTATAGTCTGTGCTCTGCTAAAATCCTCTTCTGCTTTGTGTGAGGAAAGTGTGAAACCAATGAAAAAACCACATGGCTAATTACTTTATTTGAAGTACAATTGACAACATGTTTGTTGGACAGTATGGATGCTGTCCGGTTTTAGGGAAAGCAAGTGACAGGTTCTGAATAAGCCTCTGATAGTGCCTATGGGGATGAAGGAACCTTTTTCTCAAGCTCAGGTGCACTTAATGTTGCACCTTTGATGCCTACTCTAATGATGTCTGTGATCTCACTCGTGTTGATCATAGTGGTCACCTTGCTGATACAGGACTGCTCAGTATCAGAGCCGTTTAAAAAGCCCTTTTACTTCAATGTCATATACATCATTTTAATTTCAGTTACTTTGCATATGTGCATTTGGCTGTTCCTGTCTCTTGAGGAGAATCAGCTTTTCTTTGCTCTGTGTCATATTCAGTATATTCCCTGGCAAAAGAGAAATAAGCTGTCAGACTCAAAACAGGCTGACAGAATTATTTCTTCCATTTATTTCTGTTCTGCATCGCCCGGGGGGGGGTGGGGAGGGAGAATTAAAAAAGAAGCCTGATTGGGGTGGAGTGGGAGGTCTCACTCAGGTCAGCTCTGCTTACTGTCCTCACAGTGTGAGAGGAGGGACGGGGCTGGGGGATCTGCCGGTCTCTGTTCTGGTGGTTTCCATTTCCATCCTGCTCTCTTCCCCAGTGTGTGCTCTGGGGAGGGCTGGCTTGAAGGTGAATGCAGCGCATGTCAGCAGAAGCCATACAAGCCTCTCTGCCATCTTCCCTCGGAGGTGCTGGGAGGAAAGAGGGTATGTAGCCAACATGCTCATATCACTGCCGTTCTCGTGTGCAAGAGAGAAAAAAAACAGATACAGCTATTTTTCTGCCTTTTGTGGGTTTTGCCTGACTTACCCAGCCAATAGTTTGACAAGCCAGTAGTGAGGAAAAACCCTGAACACAGCCAGGTGCCTCAGTGGGGGAGCCCTTGCTCCACACACCTCCATGGGGGGGACCTCTGGTGAGGAGAGACGTATATTCAAATTAAGGACACAAAACAATTTCTTCCCTGCCACAGACTGACACCCATCCTCATCTGAGCAGCTTTCCCACAGGCCAGGGCCTCAGGATGCCACCCCACCATCACAGTTTCCCAATCTGTCTGGATGATGTCTGCAGTGCTTTTTCCAGGTATGTCTTCACTGGTACATCATCAAACACCTCATGACAGGCTGCAAGTCCAAGTCAGACATAATGCTCTTCCTCATCTTTCATTTTTGACATACATGCCAAGCCTGATGTACGTCACCTCATACTTCTTGGGGCTCATCTGCAACAAGAGAGCCTTTGGGTGTGCTCCAGGGCACTGTGGGGTCAGGGCATGGCCGACAGCATTGTCAGGACACTGCAGGAGGAGGTATGTCTGCATGGAGCATGGGGTGTGCCACAGCCCTCAGGCTGTAGCACTCCACTGTGTGGATACAGGAGTGGTTGGTCTGTCTTTTGGAGGAGTTTAATGCAACACTTTTTGGGGTAGCAAGAAACTACCCAGCTGGTGGTAGTGGAGGGTAAGCCTGGACCACTTACATGATGGTAAAGGGCAAGGCTATTGGGCATTTTCTTGCTTGGATATGTCCTTGGTGACCTGATCATTGTTGAGGTGCTGGTGCTCCCCAATATTTTATCTGCCAGAGCCCTCCTGAGTGCTTTGCCAAGCTCCCAGCAGCTGCACCATTGCTGCTTGGAGGACTGCAGTATGACAAGGTGCCTCCATGGTGCTGCTTGGATGCCAGCATTGCAGCTGCTGCCTAGGAGTGTGTCCCTCTGCATCCTGCACAAAGGCTGCTGAGCCAAGGGATCTATCTGCCTGGAGCAAAGCCAAGCCTTAAAGGAATCCTTAGCTTCTCCATGTGGACAGAAAGCCCTCCTGCAAGGGACAGCAGCTGAAAAGTCAAAGACTAGAGAAACTAAGGGTGCCCTGTGTACAGCCAGTGCATGCATAACAAATTTAATAAGTAATCCTTTGTCATTGTGTACCCTGTTGAATGACTGCAGGACACCCTGGTCTGTATCCTACAGATTTGTTACAGGAGTGAGAATTGTTCATTGTAGGTAATGCTTCAAAGCTTTGGAGCAAAGGATCTGCTCTGAAGTATAGGCTGTTTTGCCTCTGACTGATTTAAATGCATCTCTCTCTCTCTGCTGGTTAGCTTGAGGTCACTCCGGTAGCTTGTGTAGGCTGTTTTCAGGGGTTTTTTCATGCTTCAGTAAGATCTTCTGGTTTACCTGTGGCTTCTTACTTCCCACCAGCACGTGGATCGCAGGCAGTGGCTGAGCTAACGCAGATCTTCAGTGACATTGCAAAAACACACAAGGACAGGCTCAGAGGGCATCCTGCCTGGCAAAAATTGCATGTGTGTGTTTGGAAAGAGGTAAACAAAATGAACAAAGGCATATCATGTCTCATAGTAAAACTATGACCACGGGCAACCAGACCATGAAATGTGGCATGACTTCAGCATGACAACCACCCTACAAACCAGCTGCATGTGGAAGTGCAGGAACAGTCAGGGTGGGCACAAAGCCACAGCCCAAGCAGAGTTTGTGATCTTGCCACTGCAAACGCCCAGGGGAAAGGTGGCTGTGGGGAGCCCCAGGCACATGGAGGTGAAGCCCCCGGGCCTGCCGTGGGGCAGAGCATTGCCTGGCACAGCCTGTTTAGATGGAGACATCTGTTCACCATGTTGGGAAGACGTGGCCATTTCGTGCACTTGGGACAAACCTGAGCACATCTGAGCATTTTTCCCCAGAAAGTTTTCTAGTGTAGGTTTAGTCCTTTGCTGCTCACCTCCCACATGCAGGATCTGCAGTTTTGCCTGAGTGAGGACTCTGAGGCAGAGCTTCTATCTTCTTTGTTGAGGAAACCAATGAACTCCAGTCCTGGCCTTCTGGCTGTAGAAAAATCTGATCTAACTCATCAGCTTGACAGGAAATAGTTTGTATGGAAGTACTTCTACAGTACCAATTTTCTAAACATTTCCATAGTCTCTTTGCTCTTTGGCATCTTGAACGACCTTAATTGCATGGCACAGCCTGCCTTTGTGCCAGGACGGAAGGACTTGCTGCCTTTTTTTAATTCCCTACCTTGCAGCTTCTCCCTGCAGCACCCCTCCGACTGTTTTGTTGCCAGGAAGGACTTGGCCCTGAAACTCAGTCAAGCGTGATTCAGCATTTAGTTGACACACTGGGGCATAAAACCCAACTTTACTGGCTTTTAGATGCACAGCAGGGGTAGTTTCTCCTGTTACGAGGTAAGTCCGAGGTTTATTTGTTTTACAGGTCAGCATGATGAGCCAGTTTTGTGGCTGATGGGCATACGGGGAGCAGAGAGCTCAGTGTGTGCTCAGGACCCAGCCAGACCAGTTACAGCCACAGAGAAGGAGATGGGGTACCACATACACCTTTTCAGATGTATCAAAAATGTGGTTTGCATATACTTTGAGCTCTAGTGCCTATATAAATGAGATGTTGCAATATCAGAGTGGCTACTGCACTTGAATTTCTTGTTAATCTGTTTATATAGTAGCTGTATCACAGTTGTGTTAATGGGTGGTGTTTCCTGAAGAAAGTCAAAGCTGCTTTTAGTGATTTAAGTCAATACCAGCCAGGGAAATGCACATCTACTCTTCAAGATCATCAAGAAAGTCATCCAGAAAGGGAATGGGATTGACTTGGCAGTGTGTTGAGTTGTCACAGTGCCCAAGGCCTCAGCAAAGCTCCTGACATTCCCAAGGCAGCAAGGTCATCTTGAAAGCACAATTGCATTTCTCTGGCATTGTTTATGTTAGTATCCTGAGAATGACTTGCATATTTGAACCTTACGGCAGGTTAATCATTAATTAAGATCTTACAAAACTGAAGTCAGAAACCAGCAGTCTAGGAAAAATAAAAGAATTATCTTCTAAAGCGTCTGTTTAGAAAAAGTGCATAGATTCATTTTAATCTTGGGTAGGTTGGATAAAGGCAAAGAGGAGCCAGGAACATGTTTCAGTGCAGCACAGTTCTCCAGCTCACTTGGAAAATGTTGCTTTTTATGAAGGGCATGCCGCACCTCTGAACACCCGTAAAGGGCTGTGGTTTGCTGGTGTTTTCTTTCTCATCCATGTGAATGTAGGTGGACTGCTAGTGAGTGGAAAGGTGAGCAAAGTATTGCAAGAAAGACATTAGTCTTCTTGGGTGACTTGACGCTTTGTCTGACAAGGGAAGTCCTAATGTGGCTACATCTCCTTGAAAGCTGCTTTTAGCATCATGTTGATTACCCATTCCCTGAGCAAGATAGATTGACCTGGTAGTGCAAATGATTGCTGGGACACACAGACTCCTAAACCAAACCTGCAATGTTTATACAGGAAAAACAGGCAAAATTAGGTGACTTGCTCCTCAGCCCTAAATCATAACAACAACCACAAAAAAAAAAAAAAAAAAAAATTCCATTTCCTTGACCAAAAAAAGACTAGGGGAATCTCCCATGATTAGTATCCTTCTGGAAACCCAAGGCCTGTTGGCATGAAGTGCCTTGTCCTAATTGCATTATGAGAAGTGATGCTAGAGGTAGAAAAATGAAGACACTTTTGCTTTCCTGTGAGGGATGTAGAAGCTCTTGTGGAATTTATTCTGGTTTTCTTCTCCTGGAGATTACTCACTAGTGCTAATCCCTGCCTTCATGGCCACCACCTCTCCCATCTCTTTGCTCTGCCTCTGTTTACCTCTGCTCCCTCAGACCGCTTTTCTCCCCAGACTTGGTATTTGCAGCATGTTTTCTTTGGGTGGACTTACACCAAAGAAACAGCCAGTGATTCTGGAGGACTGCAAATACTGCTGAGAGGTGCAGCTTGGCTTTCTGTGCATTGGAAGGCTGGAGCATGCTGTGATGAAAACCACGTGCCAGTCCACAGTACTTCTGCCCTGGAGTGAGGACATGCAATGGGGTTACAGAGGTTTTGCATGCTGAGTGGATGGAAAGCACAGAGAGATGCCAGCTTCGGCTCTTCCATCTTCATCCAGGCACTGACTCTAAACTGGACATGGAAAGAGATTTAGGCTGATCGGTGGCTGCTGGAATAATGGGGAGATTCCCACTTTGCCTGCTGAGGAGAGGGCACTATCCCCTGCAGGTGGTGGGATGGGGGAGGTGGTGGGACAGGGCATCTCCCCTTACTGCAGGAGTCCCTGGGCAAGCTGGCTGCAGTGTTCTGCTCCCCCCCACCCTGGCCCCAAACACCCTCTCCCCAGCTCAGAGGGGAGCACAGCCCTGGTGGAGTGGCTAAACCTGGCAATGGGATGTTGCAATGAAATAACAGTCTCCATTTTTAAAGAATGCTTTATTCACTACATCCTAGAAATGTACTGTAAATGGAGCAAGAACTAAATAAACTTAGAGGCTTCTGACAATACAGAGAACAGAGATACAATAAAATACCTAAAATATCAGCTCTTTTGAGAATAAGGCACACTATTTTTTTTTAAATTTTTTTTTCTTTGAATAGTTTGTTCTTAACCTAAAGATGTTCACATTTCAAGTTATCAGACTTACCTCAGTAGTAGTGTACATGAAATGGTTTAGAAGCAAGTGTAAAAGGCACAGGCTGGAGGCTCAGCACGACCCGCTTGCCTGAGTCCCCGGGGTCCTGCCTTTGTCCCCGGGTCCTGCCTGCTCCTGCCCTGGCACAGCAGCACCCGCGGGTGGCCTGGGGCTCCTCGGGGTTTGCCCTCGTTGGTTCCTTTCTCTCCCTGCCTCCTGTGCGAGTGGCAGGACCCTCGTCCTGCTGCTGGGGGGAGGGTGAGCGGGGAGAGAGCCGTTACCCTTCATCCCTCCTCTGTGGGTCAGCTGTGGTGTGGGGCTGGAAAGGGGTGGGCAGAGACACAAACCACTAGCCTGCCTTTTCCCAGCCCCAGGGGTGCTTCTGCAGAGCCCATGGACCCGCGGTGACATTTAGTGTTGAGCCCTGCAAGGCCTGGGCTGGAGGGGCCAGAGGAGGTGGCACTGGTCTCCCCTCTGGGGACTTCCCCTTGGGGCTCTGCCCAAATTGCCTCCTCTTGCCAAGCCACGGGCAGGGCCTGGGGGATGAGGTCTGGGCACACCTTCAGAAGTGCAGGGACAGGCAATGCAAGTCTTCTGGGAAGGGGTGCGGAGGGGCAGAGTCCAACCTAATGGTTAACCTCCTACCAGTGCTTCTGCTAACGGGTCAACAGGTTTAAGGAGAGCTCAGCTTGGCTGAGCAAGAGCACCTAAAAAACAACTGCTCAATTTTGAGGCGAGGAAAAAAAGTGTATTAAAAGGTTACTTAACTGAGCTGGACGTAGTCTGAAAGTGGTTCTGTTGTCAAAATATACTCCATATGAAACCCCTTTGGTTGGTATTTATACCACAAAAAGCAAAGGAACATTGTTTACTCACTCCCTGCTTCGCACCTTGTGTCACTGGAGCTGTGTTTGCAGGGCTGGTGCACTTCATACAACGGGCAAGATATTTCTTTACCATTTTACTATATTTTACATTCACTGCTCTACTAAATAAAAGCCTTTAAACAGGCCACCAAACACTGCAATAATATATTTACTTCTTAATAAAACAAACTTTTTTATAACATCGCAATAAAAGGTTTTTGTTTTGTGGCAAACCACATACCATGTAAATTTGCAACATAAAATGACTTTAAAAATGTGTACTAAAGATATTTACAAGCTCTATGTCTTAAAATCATCGGGTCTAATCGCTCCCACCCCTGATGTGCATGTACAACTCCAGTTATGGAGAAAGGGAATTAAGCGTGGAAGGGAGGCTGGGAGGGAGGCTAGCCCCATTTCACTAATTCCAGTATCACTACCACCCCTAGTACCTTGGAAATTTCTCTTAGAACATGATGGAGCGATGGGTAAGTAACGCTGCGCATCCTCTCGGCGAGAGCGCGCCTGCTCTCGCCAACAGCATACATTCTCAGTCACCACAACATATACTTCAAAGAATAAAATAAAAAGCATTGGAAAAGAGCCTAGGTTTTATACCGGATGAAGATCTAAGTCAAGACACCTCATGCAAAATATTGGCTACTCATTTATGCACGTGCTCCAGCTACAAGTAGCTTAAATAAATAGAAAATCCAGTTGTTAAGGAAAACTCAGAGCCTTTCTTTTACTTAACACAGGCCTGCAAATCATGCTGTGAAGAGATTCATGTGAGGAGGCTTTTTTTTTCCTCTTTCTCCCAAACAAGCAATACTAGTTACTTCTGATTTCAAATAAGAATGAGCAGATTGTATTAATGCCAGCACAGAAATGCAGAGGTCTTGCATATTTTTCAAATTGCACTTTCCAGTATAAATCTTTAAATAAGATACTTGTTGGTTTTTTCCTTTAAAAAACAAAAAAATCTAAAGTATGTAATCTTTAAATATTGAATATATTTTTCAAAATATATTGTTAAAACTTTCCCTAGCTGCTCAGGTGTGCTTTTTAATATATAGCTGATATATTATTAAAGGCACTACAAAATAGACATCTCTGGAGTGCAGAAGTTACTTAAAAATAACCTTCATACCACAAATATATTGAAAATATAACTGCTTAAAAAAAAAAAAAAAAAAAAAAAAAGACCCTATGCAGCCCTACTAGGATGCATGTAAATGCACGTCAGCGGTGGGCTGGATGCATTGAGGTCCTTTAGAAATGTATGAATACAGGCGTGTTAAATTTTAAAAATAGCCTAAAAAAGTTAGTGAAAACTTCAAGCGTAGAAAATATTTTGAACACGTTTTTCTATGACATTCTTCACTTCCTGATCAGTTTACTGAGCCCAGACATCTACTCTTTTGCAGCCGGTTCTTTCTTCATAAATAGTAAAGTGTTCCTTCAGTGTGTGTTTCTCCGCCGCCCTCCTTTGCCCGCAGTCTTAGTACGTCTGGTAGACGTCGTGGAAGGGGACTTG